AAAAAAAAATGTCTAAAAGGAATTTCCTGGAAGGCTAAGAAGCAGGCTTGAAAACTGGGTGTGGTTCTGGAGGGCCACATGAACCCAGGAAGTCTCAAAGAAGGGGTGTATCAGAAGTGGGGACGCATCTTTAAGCTCTGCCATCTCCCCATCACCTCCCGCGACTTCTGCAGGTTCTCCCTTACCTTCCTTCCAGTGCTCTTTGGAAAAACCTACTGCAGACTTCTGTCACTTCCCCTGACATCATGTCATGGTGACGGCTTCCAGTGGTGGTTGCCAGTTACTCAGCACTCCCCCATCCAAAGGGCTGGACTTGCTCCTCCCTGAACTGTGGACCGGCTTGCGCTAGATGGACCCCCGAGTGTGATTTCTGGGGCTGTCATACCAACCCCTCACTCGGCCCTGCTTGCTGGAACACTTGCTCTTGAAGTCCTGGCCCAGCACACGGGTCCAGCTCTTCGAGGCTTCCCAGCTGTGAGAAGCCACAGGTAGGCTGCAGGTAGGCAAGTCTCCAGTGGGCAGTCCCGCCGGGCCAGCATGGGGGTGGCCCAGCGTCCAGGCAGGCAGTGAGAAGTCTCGTGACCCCAGCCCTAGCCTTTCCCTCTCAGTGGAGGGACCCTGTGGAGCAGAGGGGGGCCATCCTTGCTGTAACCTCTTGAGCCTCCTGACCCACGACCACGGAGTCTGTGAGTGTGATCAGATGTGATGTGTGCCAGGGCATCTGGGGGGTTGGTGACACAGCAGTGTAACTGGAACCACCACAGCAGCCTAGACCGCTGCTCCAGGATGGGTGGCAGAGAGCAGAAGCCAGAGGCAGAGGCAGAATCCTTGGCAGCGAGGTGAGGGGGAGAATGAAAATGTTGGAGGCTGTATCCTGAGCGAGGGCCAGCTCTGGACAGCCAGTTCGGACGGATGGAGGGGAAGCGGGGAGGGGGCTCCCGGATCTGCTGCATGCAGGCTCTGGGCACTCCCTGCAGCCCAATGCCCGGCCTGTGGCAGAGCCCTGCGTTGTCACGCTGCACTCTGAGGTCCGGGGGGCAGGGAGCCTGGAACACGCCACCACAGTGTTTCCAGGACCCCAGGTGAGTGAGTGCAGAGGCCAGTTCTGATCAGATTAGGGTGAACAGGTGGGGAACTCTCATGCTCATTTCAGAAAAATGTCTTGGGATTTGGAGGAACTGGTTAGCCCTGTGGCACTCTGTGCCCCTTTATGACCTCTCCCTGGTTTTCTTCCAAACAACTACTCTTCATTTCCGAGGATGCTTGGTTCAGACACCCTAGGATGGCAGATAAGCTAAGCTAAGCCAAACACGCTTCCGGGAGGTGAAGCCAAGGCAAGTGAAGTCATCCTGCGCCCTCTGCCCCAGGTGCTGGGCGTTGGCTGCTAAATGGCGCACAGCTGAGCCCCGTAGGCTTGCCCGGGTCAGTGGGAGCCCGCCCCACCCACGGCTTCCCCAAAAGGCGACCAGCCCATCCTGCTGCCTGATCTCACACAGCTGCGCGGCTCCTACCTAGGAGGGGTGAGCCAGGCCAGCCAGGCCTGCCCTGGTTTCTTAGGAGGAAGAAACTTTGGGGACTGCAGATGTTTACCATTATAACATGGTGGTCCCCAGGAAAAGGGGAGGTTCCAGGTTCCCTGCCCCACACAGAGGGTGGAGCTGAACATGGAGGAGAGGAGAGGAGAGGAGTCTGGAGAGACTCAAGAGGAAGGAGGCAGGATGGAGAGCCAGGCGGTGAAGGCACATGGAGCAGAGTCGTGTGAAACAATTTGTTTCACAAACTGGGTGAAGCAGATGTGGATGAGAGGCCCACTGGGAGGTTCACTATGGCAGCGTTTATGTAGATCTTGATTTTGTTCCTTTTCCACACAGACTTGTCTGGGCATTTCTGACCCTTCTATGGGTCCCCTGGACTTCCACCCACGAGGGGATGGGTCACTTTGGGTGTTTGGTGTTTAGAGGCTGTATTCTTTATGTGTGCTATATTGCACACGGTTTGTATTAAAGTTCCTTTCCATTAAAGGTCTCATATGTTTTGTCTTGATGTGGCAGATGGCAGAAACTATTTAGAGCAGGCACGTTTGGGGGTTCTGGGGTGCCCCCTCACTGCCCTGCCACACCATCATTTCGGTCGTCTCGGTATCGCAGGGCAATTGACCAGGGCCGTCTCCTGCACAAGTGCGTGTCCCCGCATCTCATTCCCAGGTGTTCATGCTCCTCCCCGCCGCTCCTCACTCCCAGGGGCCAGATCCCCCCCAAGCCTGATCTCATCCTTCAAGTGGGAGGGAGAGGAAGGCAGGTGAGAGGGCTCTCTCTGGAGGATGCTGGTTCTGAGACAGGCTAATTACAGACTTCCTAATGAGCGAGCCATGGGTTTGCATTTCATCAGCTGAGTCACACTGGATGTCTGCGCCCTGGACCCAAGGGGAGGGTGTCAGGAACCATGAGGGGGGAGGCCAGCCAGCCTGCAGCCCCTTCTCAAAGTCAGCTCCTTTTACATCTTTAGAGGGTGTCAGCAGCACCCCTCCCCATCTCCCACCCCTGCCTCTTGACACCTTCCTGGACTGCTACTGTCAGTCCATCCCTCATACCTTCCCGCCCCATCAGGATCCTGCAGGGGTCATGTGCTTGCTTCTCTTTCCCTGTCACCCTCTCTTTCAAGCCAGATGTCCTCCCACCACATATATCACACAACTGGGTTCACCATCTGCAGTGCGGCCACCCATCTGGGTAGGACCCTTGGCCAGTCTGCCCAAGATGGTTCCCGAGCCACTTGGCCCTGGTGCTGTCCCTGCCTGGGCCCTTGCTCCATCCCCACTCTCATCTTTCAGAAACTGCAGTTACTTCATTTACATGAAGTTCACTCTGGTGAGACTTTATTGGGGGAACACCTTTTACTTGGGAGCCTAAAGGTGTGGTATTACTGAATTTTCCAAAATGCTGTGGTTTTGATCATGGATTGCTAATCCATAATCACCTTTTTGTGCCTCTGGTTCTGGCTTGCGTGGGTTTGGGCCCAAGTTGACAAACCCATGGTGGTTTTGCAATCTTCCCAAGCCAGGTAGGCTCACCTGGTTTACCTGTCAGTTCAGGCAGTGTGAAAGAGAACACCAGAGCCGGTGGGATCTTCCCCACAGGTGGCTTTCATAATCCATAGGGGAAACAAGCTGGCAGGGAGACAGTAACTGGACCCCCGGCCCCTCCTTACCCCCCTCAAATCTCTACTTCTTCGTCCTTCTGGTGGTCCCTGGCCAGCAGTGGGTCGCCCTCCTGTAGCCCCCTCCAGCCCTTGCCGCAGCTGTCTGAGTGACGCCACCCTTACAGCATCAGCCTCCAGGCTCAGGTGTGCCCATTAGGCACGCCCACACCATGCTCCACCCAGATGCCCACCATCAGGCACGTGTGCCCTGCGCTCATGCTCCCAGGTACCTTCTGCACTCAACTGATAGCCACAGAGGCTAGCAGCATGACCACTCACCCTCCAGTGGTGGTCCCCCCAAGATCAAGGTCACTGGTACCCTTGAACCTTATCTAGTGCTCCAGCTCAGTGGTGGGATTCTAGATCCCGTGGTGACAGTATCCTGGATAGAGGGAATCTGAGTCTGCCCTTCCCACACTCTGCTACCTACGGAGCATCCAGAGTTGGCGACTCTGGAGTCACTAAAATGAGCTCTTTGTGGATCTGAGTCTCAGCTTCCTCCTCCTCGCAAGAGTTGTAAGGATTAAATAATACATGCAACAGCACTTAACACCACCCCAAGTGTTCAAAACGTAAACTTCTGAATGCAAATGCGGCCTTCAAAGTCTCTATAACCTTGATTATATAAACATACAAAACCATGGACGTGCAATATGGGCTCATCTGCTGGGTGCTGCTGGAGGGATATGGCTCCTGGGGCCCCAAGGACCAGCCTTTGCTGCTCAGGCTGCTTGCTGGTGGGGCCACAAGTTTTCAGTTTGGGGGGCTAGAACCCTTAAAATAGAATGGCTACCTGGGAGGCATCCATGCCTATTTAACTTACTGGACATCACCTTCCCATCAGAGGCCACACATTCTCATCAGCAGAGTATGACAGAGCCAGTCACCCACAAATTGACCAACAGACTGAGGCACACTTGCCCATCAGGGCTGAGGTGACAGGCAAGAGAGAAAGGCAATTCAAGCCATCTTTGTCATCACATTATGGGCAAAGTTAGGCATCTTTTTGACATGTTTAAATTTCATGTTTAGAAGCTACACCTTAGGGATGTTAACCTTTGTAATACAAGTCACATATATATTTTCCCATCTTGTAATTTGTTTTTACTTTGCTGATGGTGATTGGTCTTGATCACCTAAGAGGTTTTCTGTTGTAGAATTTTATGTAGTCAATCTTAACCAACCTTTTCCTTGTCTGTATCTGGCTTTTGTATATTTCCTCATTCCCAGGTTTATAGGAATTCCCTCGTTTGCCATTCACCTTCCAGTGATGCCAGGACCACTAGCTGAAAGCTCCATCTCACCGTTCACAGTGCCACCACCTTTATGGTAATACGCAGAATTTTCCTTAGGCAGTTGGGCCCATTTCTGGATTTTTAGTTCTGTGTCATTGATCTGTGTATTTATAGGTTAGTTCTTCCCACCCTCAATCCCAACTAGTAAAATCAGGCTTTTCCTGGTTATTCTGGCTTCTTCCTCCAAATGAGCCTTGTAAGAATAGTGTCTAATTAAAAGAAAATAAGTGGCTGTGAAACATTAAGGGAAACGGCAGAGAGCAGAACCATAGTGTACACTCATCTCGCTTTTCCTAGCAGGAAGCACTGGGAGGCAGCGGCAAGAGTGTGTTAGTGGTCCTTGCCTGAGGGTACAGTTATAGGCCGCACTACCCCATCATCAGCACAAACCTTGATGGGAGAAACTTACCAATGGCCACAGAGCTGCCTTTTGTTCCCCCCATCCCACACCACTGGTGGTTTCTGGGTCACGGCTCCTCTCTGTGAGGCAGGTTGTGCGTTGTAATAGTGGACCTGGGATTCAGGGCTCCGCCCTGCTATGGAGGGGTCTGGAGTGGGAAGCATGGCCATGTTTCAGCAAACCCTACTGAATTCTCTGCCCCATTATCCTGCTCTTCACTGTAGTCAGCTCCCAGCCCCCACCCCCACCTGGACGCCTACTCCCAGGTGACAGGCTTCCAAGGTGAGAAGAACATCAAGGGCCGGCATCTCAGTAAGTTCTTGTTTTGTCCTAGCACTGTCCAACAGAAGTTTCTGCAAGGGTGGAGGGCATGTCCCGTGTTGGTGCGGTCCAACTGGATGGCCACCAGCACGTGCAATTATTAAGCACCCAAAATGTGACTTGTGATGGAGCAACTGAATTTCTATTTACTTTTAATTTAAATAGCCACATGCGGTTAGTGGCTGTTACAGTGGACAGTGCATTTCCGGCCCCGTCTACTCCTCTTCCAGCCTAGAATCAGGAGATTCTGCCTATGCCTGTGCCAGGAGGCTTACAGCCAGTCAGGTGGTACAGGCCGGGAAAGGGCTCACAGGAAACAGGGCAGAGGGGTGCAACCCTGGCGGCCAGCCCCACCCCGCCCTGGCCCTCACAATGACTAAGCTGGGTGTCACAATGCCTTGGCCAGGGGCTGGGGAGCGGCAGCCTGGAAGCTGGCAGGTGTCTTTCTGCAGGAGCAGGGCCCTTTGCAGACCTACTGACAGCCGCCAGGCCACAGCAGGTCCGCCTCCTGGGGAATGGAAAAGCACCCAGCTGCTGGGGCGCCTCAAGCTGGAAGCCCACAGGAGGAGGAAGGGCAGGTGTGGGGATAGGGTGGTCTACCAGGCCCCAAGACCCAGATACTACAGGGTCCCTCGGCGTTTCCAGGAGCTAAACCAGGCTGTGAGCACCGAACACATTCTCATCTTCATCCTGGCGATTTGGTTCTTCTACTTCTACCTTCGAGACTTCTTGTGAGCCTCCCTTCCACCCACCCCAGGGCTAGAGGCCAGAGCAACCAGGAAGAACACGACTCAGCCTGCAACTTGTGAACAGAGGCCCAGGCTGGGGGTGGGGGGGTTGTTGGCTCCACAGGGAGGGCCAGCCAGGACGTGGAGCAAGGTCAGCACGATTTTGGAGATACCCCCGGGGCCTTGCCTCAAAGTCTCAAATGCTGTGGTCCAGTCTCTGCTCTCTGAGGGCCTCAAAAAGGCATGTGTCCAGTAAATGATAAGGAGATGCGAAGCCAGGATGGGGGCAGCAGGGTCACCTCAGGACTCTGTGGTCCTGAGACTCCTCAGTCAGCGGAGTCAGCTCAGCACATTCACTTAGCTGCTTTATGCCAGCCCCTGGGCTCTGGCAAGAAATAAATTGTCTTCTTGGCCTAGCTGGTAGCAAGAGAAATGTTATTCCCATTTTCGTGGGAAGAGAAACAGCCCAGCACTGCTCAGTGTCTGGTAAGGATGCTCCAAAGAACACTTCCCTGAGGTATCTTTAAAATAGGCTTGGATGGGAGCTTCAAAGATGTGAATGTGGCTCCCCCCAACACAGGCTCCCCTGCTGTGTCTAAGCCAGTGGCACCCCAGGCCCTGGGGAGGCGGGCTGCCTACACCAGCAGGTTTCTGGGGCCCCAGGTAGTGCAGGAGGTACCTTCCAGAGATGGCAACCTCCTGCCAGTGGAAAGAGGGCTACCATTGAGGCCAGAGGCTAAGGGCAGGAACCTCCCCCCCACCCCAACGGCAGCAGTGCTTAGCCACAGAGCACTTTGCTAAGAGCAAACAGAGAGGGTTGGGTAAGAGCCTGGAATGGCCCAGACACATAAAGCCAAAGGCACGGGAGCCTTGGGAGCAAGCCCTGATTCTCCTGTGAGGCTATGTGGAGGAAAGCCCCAGCAGGAAGTTGGGGGAAGCACACAATCACCTCACTGAAGACACCTCTGGAGACACACAAATGCCCTGGGAACGCCTCAAAACTCAGACTCCTTAATCCCCACCCCAGATCTAAATTTCTGGATGGGCAAGAATCTGAATTTGTAGGAAGTTGCCCACTCCTCTCAGTGAAAGGACTCTAGTTCCCGCTGCCCAAATGTAAAGCATGGGAGAATGAAGCCCAGGCAGAGGGGAGGGCTGCAGGTAGGGGGGGGACAGCAGAAAGCTTGGCGTCTTGGGTGGCCTGAGGCCCATGGCCCATCCACAGGTGCAGAGGACCAAATTCACAGGGTCACAGCTGCTCCTTCCCGAGGGTGCTCAGAAGGAATACAAGGAGCAGTGTGCTTTCCCCCTGAATTCTTCCAGGGACCACAGTCCAAGCAGAGCAGACAGGATTATAGGAATACACTTTCCCTCTGGGTCTCCATAAAGCTAAATGCCGAAGGGGAAAACAATAAAGTTACCCCAAGTGGCTTCCTGAAATGAGCCTGTGCAGAGGAGGTGCCGCCCAGAGAGGCCAGAGCGGCCGGCGTGAGGCCTGTGGGGCAGCTGTCCCACTGAGGCGGCATACCTGATAATGTGACTTCTTGTCCCCTTTGGGTGATGGCCCAAATTACAATCTGCCAGGGTGGCAGCAACTGCTCGAGCTGCCCTGTGACTGGCCCGTGTCGTGTGGGTGCAGGTGGGGCATGGGCACGCCACCAGAGGCCGCGCACAGCTGACATCAACCAGTGCTTTATTAAGGCTCGGAGCAGGCTGCCAGCCGGGGAGCTGGTCACTCACTCTACAGACTCACCAGTCTACTTTTGGATGGCTCTCTTGGAGCGCCTGAACTGGTCTGTTGTGCTCCACTCAGAACCACCCTGCAGGATAGGGGTGTGTTGAAGACAACTTGGGGGCCCCTCAGTTGGGGACCTCTTCCTGCCCAAGGTGGGGCTGGCTTTAGCAGGCCCTGAACTCTGGCAGAGGAGGGAAGGGTCATGTCCATCCCTCCCAGGCCAAACTATGGCTTTGTTATCCTGTTGCCACTTGAGCAGAAGTGGAGTGGCCCCCGGCCCACTACTCCCGGCCTGTGCGCTACACTGTAGGAGGATACAAAGGAAAAGTCCCCTGGGGAAGAAGAGGCAGCTCAGGGACCTGCTTGAGGCTTCTCTGTGCCTGGCAGACTTCAGGGGGAGCTGTGATCTCCCTGCTCCTGCTCTCCCTCAACTCCCAGCAATAGGTCTTCTCAGGTAATACCCATCATTCAAAAGTGGACACGCAGCACATCCTGGCTGGCAACTGACCGCTGGCAGGCTGAACACGTCATGGGCAGGGCACGCTGCTTCTCCGCCAGGCAGGGTCGGCACAGAAGATGGCCACAGGGAAGCTGGTACACGGGCTCCTTTTTGAAGTAGGGAGAAAACAGTCTTTTGCAGGAGGCACACTCGGGGCCCAGACTGCTCCCAGGCTGCTCTGGTAATCAGGGAAGAAAACAGGCCAGGGTTAGGGAATGCGGCTCCTGCTGAGAGTGGGACAGAAACCCCCTTATTCTTTCCCTCCCTTCTCAGGCCTCCTCTGGCTGATATAGGAGGAGAGGACGACAGGGAGCTTCCTCCTGTTGACCAAACCTTAGGGCTCCTATGGCTTCTGAGCACAACAGGGCAGTAGCAGTCCCTCCACCCAGCCTCCCAGCAAGATCTACTTCCCCACCAGAATAGGCTATCAAGGCCTGAACCAGGCACAAATTCAGCACAAGAACCTGTATAAACTGTGAGAAAGGCATGAAGTGATAAACAAAGGTAAAAGCAGAAAATGGCCAAGGGTGGGGAGGGAGGTGAGCAGAGGAGCAGGGCTCGGTCCATCTGCAGAGACTTGCCTGCTGCACACGACCCCATCATCTCCAGTCCTGCAACGTGCAACTCTCCTTCCCGTGACCATAATCCCCTTCCCGTGCCACACTGGCCCCTTGCGCTGGCGCTCGCCTTCCACGCTGCCCAAAGGGCCTCCTGAATGAGGACCACAGTCCTGCCATCACTCCCCTACCAAGCTGTACCCCTGCTCTCCCCTCTCTTGGTCCTGGCCGAAGGAGGCTGCTTTCTTCTAATCACATCCCACTGGAGGGGGCAAGGATGGGCTCCTTGAGGACAAACCACAAAAATGAAAAGGGGCCAGTAGGCTACTGCTGTTCTTTTCTAAGGCAGTGATAAACATGTTGACAGGGAGGGGTGAGGATGCCACACAACTCCAAAGCCCCCACCTGTGCTTAAGTGGCTGAGGTGTCAGATGGGAACCTTAGATCAGAAAAACAAAACAAAAAATTACTCTTGAGTTAACAAAGAAAGCCTTTTGATAGAGTTAAATCTGACAGACAGCCCATCTGTTCCTCTGGAGAAGGAAGGAAGCCAGGTCCTCCCCCGAATGGGTCCTGATGCCAGGAGGCTGGATGGAAGGCCAGAGTCAGTGGCGGGGCGCTGCACCCAAGGAGATGGAGGGCCCATGTTACCCAAGCCGGTGCCTGGCCTCCAGGAAGTGCTGCTTCCTTTTGTGCTGGGGTGCTGGAGCTGCCCCCTGGTTAGCCGAGCTGTGAAGGAGGGCATGGAACCGAGGGTCGACGTCAAGGCAATTTCTAAGCTTTGTGACAGCTTCTGCTCATGGGACACTGGGCCTGTCAAGAGATGTACAAAACACAAGATTCAGAAATTTGGCAAAAAAGACCAAACTACAAGTCCTCTAAGGATCACAAAAAGCACTTTCAAGCTCAAATAGACACGAATGTGAAGCAATTTCTCCATGTGTATTAATACCAAGGGCAAAAGCCCCCGGCACCTGGCAGTTCCTGGGCTCCATGGCGGGTTTCTTTTTCTGGGTACAGGCTACCTCATGGCTCATCTGCAGACCTGCACCCTTTCTTAACACCTTCCTGCTTGCTGTCCAAGGACAAGATCGGCAAGCAAATGCCCAGCCTTGCACCCATGCACCATGCTCCATGCCCCCCAGCAGCTACCTTGGTCTGCTTTCGCCCCATATCCTCCTTTCTGGGGCCCCCACCACAGGGCCACTGGCCTGACTCTAGGGATTTGTAGCTTTTCTCTCCTGTAAGGCAAAGCACAGCCGTTGTTATCTAGTAAATAATAATAATACTCATCTCCAAGATCAAAGCTCTAGGGGCCTTCTGTGTGTGGTACACTGAGAGCCAAGTTATGGGTGAGAGTCAAGGAAATGGAAGGGAGTCACCCAAGAAAGGACCCAGAGCCCTGATGTGGCAGGTGTGTCTCAAAGGCAGGAGCAGAACATTTAATCCATAGCTTGGAGACTAGGACGTCAGCTTGGGGACTGTGGGCATGTCAACACTACCACACCTCCAGACACCAGGTCTAAGGGCCTTCGCCTTGTCCAACTAACTGCAGCTCAGATGCTTCCAGGAATTTCTGGATGTCATATTAACAAGTTTATGTTCAAAATCAGAGAATTCACAGATGTAATCTTTAAGGATATTATATTTACATAGACTTTTTAGAGTAAGAAATGAAGTTAACAGTGTGATAAATCTAAAGACACTAATTTTCATAAGGAAAAAGCTGTCAAAGTGCCAGTTCCAAAAACACAAGAGCACCCAAAGGAGAAACTCTACCCAACATGTAGAGAGTAGATCCTACTGCTATTAAGTTGTTCAGAGTTTAGAACTTCCTAATTCTTCTTATGAAACAAATAAGCCACTCATAAAAGCCTGACCAAAAATGCACTACAGCCCGATTTCATCAATGAATGCAAAACCCCTAAATAAATACCAGCAAGCAGAACCAAGAGTTAAAAGACGCATGACTGAATGGTTTTATTCTAGTAAGGTAATGGCTGACACAAGCTACGCAACCTCTGTCGTCAGACACGGTACGGATGGAGGGGAATTGCTCTGAAAAATCAGACTTTCCACTGCTAACTTATGTTATGACCTCCCTTTTTTGTATAATCATAATATCAAAATATTCTGAGCAACTTTCAGCTTACAATTGGATTGTCTCAGCCGCCTAAGGCCTGCCTGCCCTGACAAGCAAGCACTACACCAGAGTGAGAAATTCCTCGGAAGTCAAAAGTGACTTGACAACTGGCTGATCAATAAAAGCAAAAGGGCTGTTTCTGCAAAGTCTCTCACTGCCGGATGGAGGAAAACCCAAATCTTATCATTCTACTATCTCACCTAGCCTTCTATTCAGTTCTAAAGAATTACTCAAACTTCCTACTGTCTGGCCTTTAGATGTGGAAATTCATCCAGGTTGCCTGTTTTAGAACTAGTCAGGTCTTTTACCTTCTGCACCTCAAAGAAATCCACAGAAGTCTTCTGGCTAGTCTCAGAATTCTACTATCTAGTCTTTTGATAAAGAAATTCACCTATGTCCCCTATTCAGAGCAAATTATGCTTTCTGCTGTCTAGACTTCAAGGCAACTCACTTAAAACCTTTTAGCAAGTTTCTTAAAGAACTTTTCTGAAATTTGATTTGCAAGAAATTTCCTCTTCCGGCCTCCCAGGATGTCTCAGGTAGGAAAAAAAAAAAACAAAACCATCAAGCAGTAGATAAGGTTTAAGGGATTTTATTTTAATTAATCTTCACTATAGTAATCACTATAGTAATATTAGTCTTAAACTTTGTGCACCTATGTACCTGTTTTTTACCTTGATTGATTTGAGTGTTATAATCTCAAGTAAAGGTCAAAACGACCCCAGACTATTCTTAGAAAAAAGATGATTGTGATCTCAGTCCCTTTCGTATGCTAATGTCATCCCCCAGCCTGCTTGAAATGTATAAAATAAACCTCTGCTGAAGGCAGAGCAGGAAGATTTGCATCCAACTCCGACTTCCATGTCTTCCTCACTCCCGCTCCCCTTTACTCTCCAATTTTTTGAATATCGCCTTGCTGACGTAGTTCCCACCTTGAGACCCTGCCTGTGTCAGCTGCTCGACAGCCTAAAATCGCTTGAGAGCCTGAAATCGGGGCTGGTCCCCGACAAATGACTCAACATCAAGAAGGCTATTAATGTACTTTTTCACATTAATAGATCTAAGGATGTAAAAACATGTCATCTCCATTAACACCAAGAAGGAACTACACAAAATTCAACCTGCAATCTTGGACAGTAACACAACATAAGACAGGAACTAACAGTGTGGGAGAGTATTGTGACTTCACTTTGTTTGCACTCTGACGTGTACCACTACTAGCAGCCCTCAAGAGGCCCAAGTGGCCAGAGCTGAATCCTACAGTCACACATGTGAGTGCGGGTGTGAGTCCTTCCCCTGCAAGGCTGGGGATTTCTGCAGCCAGCACTGACCGAGGTCCTGGAAGCCCCTGAAGCAGATGACCCAGCCAAGACCTACAGCGAGCCCTGGCTACCGAAACTTGTGAGACAATTTGCTGCTTCAAGCCAGCGAGTGCTGGGGTATTTGAAAGTCGCAAAGCATAAAGCAGAGGGCAACAGCATAAAGCTGAGAGGGGCAGGAATGACAAGCAGTACGCTGAGATGGTGGTTACCTGCTGAGCAGTCCATGTGTGTCAGACCCAGATCACTGGCAGTTTTTGTTTTCTTAGCAGTGTGCTCTGAGGTAGTGGGTGAGACCAGAAGGCTTGTAGAAAAACAGGAAGCATTTATACCGAGGCTACTTTCTGGGGCATGCTCAGCCTGCTCCATCTTCCTTTTCCGAGAAGGCAGAACAATGGCAGAAGGAGTCACTGCCAGTGCAGTCTGTGTTCTCCCAAGCAGATGGCAGCCAGGGATGGAGTGCTGCAACAGGAAGTGGTCAATCCGGGCCTTCAGGGAGGGGTGAGGCAGGGGCTGAGAGTGTGGAGTAAAGGCCACCCCTGTGAAAGGGTCACTGGGCACTCGGCCCCAAGTGGCTTCACTGCGATTACACTTCTCTAGTGTGCTCTGGTCGATGACCTTGCCTGAAGGCAGCAGCATGGGGCAAGGCATGATCTCCAGGGTGATAGGGTCCAGGAACTCCTCAGGTACATCCTGAATTACCTCAGTCAGCTTGTGTAAGCTGGAAGGGTCCTGCTGGTCCTCTGACTGGCCCCCTGAATCACAGTCGCTCTCCATGGGCAAGGCTGGGGCCTGCAGAGCTAAGTCCTGAGGGAGGCTCTCTGAGGCAACGAGCAGGACACTGTCTATCACCTCCTGAGAGCAGGTTTTGGCCGGCTGACCCCACACTTCCAACCGCCTGATGCAAGGGATACCACTGCCTGTCACGTGGGTGATACATATCTTGAGATGGGCCACGAAGCTAAGGGAAAGAGCCCCTTTATTCCAGAGTTCTTGGGTCACAACAGCAGGGGAGGGGAGGGTGGCTTCCAATGGACCAAAAGGTGGCCTGGCCTTGAAGCCCCTGTGGCTGAATACCACTTGGCTCTGATTTTTCAACAAAACTTTGCCTACCAAGGTGAAGGCCTCCTTGTCTGGGATGGACGGCTCAGCTGGGCCTGGACACTCAGAGATATTCCAGGATGCCCTGCTGGATGAGGCAGATGTGTACATTTCCAGGCCAGTGACATTCTGGCCCACCCCAGCTGTAAGATCTATGTTAATCTTAGAGATTTCCACGTTGAAAGGAAAGGAAACTGTCACATAGACAGGCGGCTTAATGAAGTACTCTGTCCTAAAACCACGACTTCTCTTTGTGAGATCTTCTGAGATGAGATTTTCAACTTCGTAACCATCAGCTGATATCTAAATTTAATGACAAATATGAGAAAATTGAGTTGATGAGATCCAAATGAAGACAACCAGTTCTTATGAACCCACTTCTCATTTGAAATTTCCATGATTACACTGAATACTCCTGTATCCCCAAGTACTGTCCATCCTTAAAAAATTAGAGCAATAAAAATAAAAACCAGGGCTCTCCCTGGTGGTGCAACTGATTAAAGCACAGCACTATAAAGCTGTCCACAGCCACTGTAGCATGAGTTTGGTCACTGGTCAGGAAGGGGACCCATATGGTATGACAGACTTCTAACCTACCTACTGCTCCCCTCAGCAGTGCATTTCAGTACATCTGCCTGTTCTGCTACCCACTCTATCTCTGGTGAATCCTCTCACTCACCCTACCCCACCTCTGGCCAGTACCCCCCCCCCAGTTTTGTATGCATAAATAAATAACTCTTAAAACAAACAAAAAAACTCTACCCAACCCAAGCAAAAATCCCTTCAAAATAACATCCATGTGGAAAAGGCAGGTATACTATTGGTTTTATATTTCAGGGAATGAAAACGTGTAGCTCTAGGGGAAAACAGAGATGTTCTGAATTTTCTATTGAAGCTCCATTAACTATAGCCCAGTTTCCCTAGGAAGGCATAACAAACAAACTTCCAATAAACTATGAATGACTAAACTTGGTAAAAACAATGTACACAGGGCTACTGATGTGCTTGGGCACAGGGATCCCCAAGCAGGATAGGACTGCTAGTTGTCCCCTTTTAATATTGCTAATATTTGTTACAACCAATGGAAATTTTTAAAATAAATAATAGTTCATTTTTACATTATTTTGTGCATTTTTCCATGTCAGTTGCAATCCCCATGGGCTTTGTATCACAAATCACCCATGTGCCATCACCACAGTCCAGTGCACTTCCCTCCCTGTTTTCGATCCCATTCCCCACTCCACCCCCACAAAATGTCTCTGGTATATAGTTGTTCATCATTATTGTTATTTTCTTTCCTGGTCTGTTATACTCCTGCTATGAGTGAAACCATCTGGTATTTTTCCTTTTCTTTCTGGCTTATCTCACTAGGCTTATCTCACTAAGCATGATCTTTTCCAGCTCCATCCATGTTGCTGCAAAAGGTATGTGCTTTTTTTTTGGTTGCTGAGTAATATTCCACTGTGTATATGTACCACATCTTTTTAATACAGTCATCCAACAACCAATGGAAATTTTAAAACATCTCTGTGCACCCACAGGGATTAAAACTGAGATTGAAAAAGTCACAAGATAATGTAAAAATAAACTATTATATTATTTTTTAAAAAGTAAAAAAAAAAATTTAGGGGATATATGAAGTAACTTTGAAGTAATTTACCTAACAAATGAACTATATCATAATGCAGTCCTTTACAATTAACCTGGCTTAATCGTTCTATTAAAATTTGTTAAAAATTAAAAACAAAACAAAACAAAAAAATCTCTGCAAAGGAGTCAGCTTAACAATCTGAGAAGCTGAAATAGCACTCTGTAAGCAAACACTCCACAATTAGGGGGAAGGTTCAACACACCTCTTGGAATTTCCCTACTCCCTGCTTTTGAGCTGTATAAAAGGGGAGGTAATCAAAAACAGCAGTGGGAGGGAAATGCACTGGACTGTGGTGATGGCACATGGGTGATCTGGTGATGGGAAACCCAAGGAGATTGCAACTGAGATGGAAAAAGGCACAAAAATATGTAAAAATAAACTATTATAAAATAATAAAAAATAAAAATAAACAATGAAGTAAATTTAAAACTCAGAAAGAAAACAAATCTTACCTCATTTGATATAAAAAAAGGGGGGGGGAAGTAGCTTAATGCAAATAAAGAAAAAGGAATCCAAGTAATAGATATAATCCATTATTCCTAGCATTAGAAATTAGCAAGTTCTGGGGAAAAGAGTATTTCTATCTTCACTATGACTTTGAGAGGAAATGAAACTTATCAGAGGGAAGAGCACAATCAATACGACACTCCACAAAACGAGTGAACAGGTCACCTCGAAATGGTGCTGTGACGCTAGAGGTGCAGCCTGACCCATGGCTAAATCTCATCTGGTGGTGTCAAAAAAGGAGGGAAAAAGCACACTAAAACTGACTAAAGTACATATCCACTCAGCAGCAAGTGGGTACAGCATCAAAGGTGTCTATTTATACGCATATACTTGTTTTCTTTACCTTGTTGCAGTAAATTCTCGGTCTGAACTGTGGGAGGCAAAGATTTATTACCATCTTTGTGGCTGAAAGGATAGCTTCCCAGCATCAGATATAGCCTTAAATAAAAAATAAGATTTTATATTAGTCAGACACGTTAAACTTCAATTCCAAACATTTAAGAGCTGATTCCTGAGAGAGCAGGATCAAACAGGATCAAACAAAAACTGGAACACATACAGACTCTCCTGGCCTGCACTCACGCTCATGCCCTGCTCGTGATACTAGGAAACTGTCTACAACAGACTGAGAAGCTGGCTCTCGGAGCCAAGGGCCAGTCAGTTCTGCAAGTTACTTCCCACAGGAAATGGAGGGCAAAAGTAGCTGAGCTCAGAAAAACAACAGGACTATTTACCCAGAGGGCTTAGAATGAAAAGGGTCACTGGAAATCATCAGTGGTTTTAAGGCATCTTGTCATTTTTGGTGCAATTACACTTTCTTATTAAAATGAAAATTACAAGTGTCAAAATAAAGTCTTAGGATTGGAAAGCACCTTAGAAATCCATCTAACCCAAACATTCTCTTTCCTTTTTTTTTAAAAAAACAAACAGCCTTTTTAGTGATTCATGGCCAGGATTGGAAAACAGATAAAGGTGGTTAAAGGGTACAAATTTCCCTCATAAGATGAATTAAAGTGCTGGGCTATAATATATAACATGGTGACTATTGTAGTGTGTATCTGAAAGTTTCTTAGAGAGCTTGAAAAGTTCACCACACAAGAAATTTTTAACTGTGAGGTGATGGATGTTATCTAGATTTACTGCGTCATCACTTCACAAAATACACATTATGTCAAATCTGAATATTGTATGTCAAATATATTTCAATAAAACTGGAAGAAAAGGATGAACCGTGTTCAGCAGCTTCTGGTACTCTAGAGAACTAGGAGACACTAGAAACAACCCTCCCGCTGCCCTCCCCAGCACATCCAATTCCTACTTGAGGCCAGACGGCTGCTCCATTCTTTTCCAGCTGACAGGCAAGGCCATGAAAATCTGCCAGCCACCCTCTAGGGTCCTTGTGCTGTCACGCTCAGTAGGTGCACTTGCCGAGGCAGGCCAGGCGCACAGGGCCCCACACATCTTAATAGGTAAAATGCAGAGTGAAGATTTGTCTTGGGACCTCTGAATACATATATCTCAGCATTTAAAGAGGTTTACATCTACCTACCAAGATGGCTCTAAGATGGTTTGCTGATCTTTCTTGAAAGGGAACTTCATATAAATCATAGAAAGATACTTTGTTGTGCTGGGATTTTTACCAAGAGGCTTTATCATTTCTGAAAACCACTGGCAGTCTACATTTGTAGTAGCCTATAATCCATGTGATTCTGGTGGTAGAAGCTTCTGATTACATCTTTGTACTCCTAGTGTGGTCATACCCAATAGTTACATGAGAGCAAATTTTTTATTATCACACTTTAAAATTTCAACTTTATCTTATTGGTAAGGCATTTGTGTACATTTATGTATGGGTGCATGTGAGGTGACTACATGTGCATGTACCTGTACCTATACACACATGTACATGCAAACATAGTACGTTGGTTTAAAAAATAATTTAAAAAAAAGAAGATTTTATTTATATCTGCAAAGAACTGGAGTATATATGGCCAGAGCTGTGGGGGGGATAAGAGTATTCACCAGAAAAGTGGGGAACAGAATGGGGGATCTGCTGAAACACATGGCTATGGGGAGCAATGGGCAAGACAGGGGAGATCTCCTGTGTCATATGTGGGGTAGCTCCCTAGCCAGAGATGGAACCCAGGGACAGCACCAGGGACATCCCATTTTCAACTTTAAATTCAGGGCAGTAGAGGAAACATTACAAAATATTTATTAGTAAAAAAGGGAGTTAAATCTGATGGAAGTAGAGAATTCTTGACCTAACGTCTCCTGCATTGAAACTCCTAGTGTTTTCCCCTTTTTGAGGAATGCACGCCATGTCTTTGCCAGAACATTCTAGAATCTTTCCTGAAATCAACAAGGACTAGTTTATAGAAGTCCCCCCCCCCTTTTTTTAATTATTGTGAACAATGTCTTCTGGTTTCTAACACTTATTTGCCACAAAACACAAAAATGAGGGTTTGAGGAATTGTATCTGCAAATATTCTCAGGACATTTCTGGGTACTTCCTCTTGAGCAGGAAACTAGAGGGCACTAGAGCAGCATTTCTTTCAATTCTCCTGCCCAATTAGGACAGTGACTTCTTGCTAAGTTTTTGCTGTGTTTTAAATATAAAGATCAAACTACTAACTTTAAGTGGATATGGAAGTACTAAAAGACCAAAAAATAGGAGATGCCTGGTGGCCTAGGTTGGCCAATATCACCTCTATGGCCTGAGTTTGGTTCCTGGGCGCAGGGTTGACCCACATGTGATGCAGCAGACCTCCATCTCGCCTGCTGCTCCCCTCAGCAGTGTATTTCAGTAGATCCGCCTGTTTTGACCCCACTCTGTCTCTGGTGAATCCTCTCACCGCCTGTACCGCTGACCTGTAACCCAGTTCTTCTAGAGAAGAAAAAAAAAAGGAATAGAGCAATTCTCTTGAAAAAGCAAATCTAGGAAAAGAGACATGATACTGACACAGATGGTAACATAATACATAAGAAAGTGAAGAACATGGTTGGCCTTGGGCAAAATGGTGGTGTCCTGATTCTGGGGTTTGAGAGGGTTTTCTTGTTACTACCACAGGCAGTTCTCTCCTCCCCTCTTTTAAAATGACAGGTTTATAATGAAAAAGAGAAGTACCTACATAGTCACAGGTGGGCAGGAGAACTGCCTCTCCTCCCCTCTTTGCCCTGATAGGTATTTTGGTAAGAAAAAAAACATTAAAAACTTGCTTATGACACAGTCATCTCTAACCCCAGCATCTACACTTTAGAAAAGGACTCACCTCCCTTTTTAAGAAAAAAAAAAAAAAAAAAAACAAATTCTGGCGGAGGTAACAAAGCCAACTTCTTGAAGTGCTGACATAGATTCCTAGGAGGCACTGATTTTGCTAACATTTCCATCTCCCTTTCTCCTTATCTTCCTGGACATTTCACCCTGTGGTCTTTTAACTGATTCATTCTTGTCATGAGGGGGTGGGGGGGAAGGGGTGCAGAGGAGCCAGGAGGCTGGGAGCAAACAAGTTCCCAGCCCCAGAGAACCTTTGTTCGTTTTCTCTGGGCTCTCTAGTGCTCTCCATGGCCTCCCCTCTTCGGCAGTTACTCATCCTCTTGGAGCCATCCTTACAGACCTGTACTCCAGGCTCAGGTGTGCCCACTTAGCGGATGCTCACAACCATGCTCCAGTGCCCACAATCCACAATCAGGCGCACGTGCCTGTGCCCACGCTCCCACGCGTCTCCTGCACTAGCACAATCAAGGCCGCAGGTGATAGCCACCGACGTTAGTAGTAAAGCCTTATTATAATCACTTAACCTAAATTCTACATATTGTCAAGTTTATTTCTCTAGAACCTGCGACCCAAGACCAGAGAAGTTGGACAGGCGTATTCTCGGAGCTATGAAAACCTTCTCTGTGAGGTATGAAACCAGATGGAAAAGTCTTCAAAACCTGAGTAGCTCTATCTGTTCTTCTTCCCACTCAGTCTCTGATAAATCCT